CCTCGTATATTTTCACAATGATCTAGGTTTTTCTTTTCCTGTACGATTTGTTACAGTCCCAAAGTTTGCATGGATACAATCTATTTCCCGGTTCCCTTTTGTCTTTTACTAACGCCCTTATTTTGCTCTTACAACCTTCGGTCAGTTGCATTCTGCCACTCTGCACTGCGCACTGCCACGCCCCCCCCCGCCCCGCCCGCCGCTGGCGTTGCTGCTGATTCTGGGTTAGAAATTTCACCTTGAGGCGTGTCCGATCAGGGGCACCGCCGTCTAGCACTAATGACAGGCCGCACGTGGCCGACCGCAATCAGTCACTGGCCCTCATAGACGACACCGCTATAGACGACATATCTACACCATAATTCGATCATTCCATCAAAATCCCCGCCCGCCGACAACGATTAGATGAAAGAACAATTTGATAGCGCGTCCCACTACATCGGCACGGACAATAGCACAACATGTTTTTCTTTGGCTCTTAATGAGAAGATTCGATTTGGTTTCACTTGATAGCGCGCGTGCTGGTGCACCAGGGCCGTTGTTGGTACTTTTTTTTTCTCCTTTCGCTCAGTGTTAAAAGGAAGATCTAATAGCGTGTTGTCTTTGCGTGGGAATAATTGTCGGTTGATTGTCGCCGCTCACTTCCAGGCACATTTTAGTGGTTTGTTAATTGGCTGGTGGGATTGTTTTTATGTTCGCTTGTTTAATTCAATTTGCTGATGCGTTCTAGGCAAGGGCATGGGGGGGCACTGGGGATAGGTCTACGGCCCTACACGTTTTGTCTAGGCAGCTGAGCCGTGAAGTATGTGATTCACCCCCTCCAAGCTGCTGTTGGGTAAAACAAAAATTACTGCGTAAGTTATTTTGCGACAGCCAAATACAAACAGGACAAAACAAACCAACAAAAAACAAAACAGAATTAAAAAGAAAAATAGAATGAGAAGTACGGTCTTTTTGATGAAGGGTGTAGCACTCACGCGTTAGTAAGAGCCGATATGTTTGCGAACTTCTTCGTAAATATTTGGACATTTCTTGAAATGCTTGCGTCACGCTGTCTGTCGACACCCCTTATCCTGTACACAATACAATTCACACGTGCAGATCCATCACCCAATTCTGGGTGGGGAGGAGGCAAAATTGTGTGGGGGGCAGAAGTTGGGGAATTTCCTTTCTGTGACCTTTCACGACCTCTGCCTCTCTGAGGGTTGGGGCAAAATTTCGGGTTTCTTACTTGCTTCGAAAAGGAAAAGAAATGAAAATGCCTGCACGGTCGTACAGGAAATCGTCCTTCCTCTATCCTTCAAAACAACCCGGGGGTGGACCTGTTGCCATCCCCTCGGATCCACCGAGGCAACACTCACCCATCAACGGCTTGGATACACGTACGTTGGTTTCCTGTCTACGGATAGGCAAAAGTGCTATACGGTATGTGAACACTTCAGCTCTTGTTCCAACCAACCAATCGAAAGCGACAGAGCTACTCACGCAGCCGACAGGCAGATTCAGAAACTTTCAAGAGCACGGGACCCTAATGTCTCAGGTGGTAGAGAGCGCCGATAAAGCGCTCCCGGGCCGGAGCATTACAATAAGCAGAGTATTTTGAAAACTCTAGCAGAAAAATGGACTAAAATCAAAATCAAAATTTCTGTTGCGGCGTAGTGTGGATGATAACAAACATTATATAACCCTTCGACTATTTGGACAAGCAATCTAAGGTATGATCTCCAAAATAATCCTTCGGTTAAGTGAGAAATCAGATACAACACTAGAGTGTACCTAACGGTAAGAAGTCTCCAGCCAACTTGAGTACAACTTGCAACATCGAGTGCGACGGCACGCACGTAAAAAAAAAAAAAAAATGCGCCGTGGGAAAAGCTCCGCGGCGGGCAGTAGTCCACAGCAATTTTACGCTCCCGTGGTCTCTACAGCGTCCTCCTTCTATCGTGGGACTCCTGTATTCTGGTCTGTTGTCTCTCCTCGAACCAGTTATCTCGAGCTTTTTTTTAAAAACCCTCTGGCTGTATTGCGGGGGTATATATTTTACACGCACATGCTGCAGGGCAGGCCGTCGATAGTCTGCGAGGCAATCGAGCGCAGCCGGCCGTCGATAGTGACGTGACGGCCGGTCTGTCGCTTCCGAAAGTACCGGGGCCGCTCCACGGTGAATGACCAACCATGTCCGTGTATGCATATTAATAGGTAACGGAGAGACATGAACTCCGACAAAAAGGTCACAACTGCACAGGCAGAGACCGTGCCAGCTAGATTATCCGTCTTTTGTTCATTTTGGAGAGCAGAGCGCTACTTATGGACATTTCGTTCACGCACTTTGTTTCATGGGTTAGCCGAGTTGGAATTGAAAGCGAGGTTGACTCTTCATTTTTGATTGCTGAAAGTGGAAGGCAAAAGCAATAAAAAGAATTTTCATTTCAAATTTGTACCTGTCTACTGTATGTCAAATTTGTGATTAACCATACAAAAATGTGCCTGAGGGTGAGCGTTTTAAGCCATTTTGTAAAAAAATAATAAAAAAATTAAAGAGAGGCTTGAAGCACACGCCATTAACAACCTGGGTGTCATTTTAATCTAAACACTTCACAGTAAATGTAACCAGATTCAGAAAATACGACTGGAAAGGGTTACCACATGAACAAGGTCTTGTGGGTGGGTTCCCCCCTTGAATCACCGCTTGTGGTGAATGGGAGGGGGCGCCCCTTGAATCGCCGCTCACGTCAACACGCAGAAGTCAGACTATCGTGTGGGTATGCGGAGACAGTAGCTGTTCCACTTCAGCGTGTCTAATACTGAAAGACGACCGCGCGATTGCCGACCAATGACAGGCTGGCCACATGGTGCTCTTGTTTGGAGTGTGTGTCAAGTAGTAATTGTGTGGTGGTGACTTATGATAGTTGTTAAGTCGTACACATTACCACAGCAGCGTGCTGCTGAGGCAAGTATCACGGCCGTCGGAACTTGAAGACCGTTGTTAGGGGGGTTGCTATCAGACCACCACTCAAAATTGGTGTAGGCCTAATAGTATTCTGATTTCCCCGACCGGACACTTGCGTGAAATAGTGAACTCAGTCCTTCCTTCTCCATGATTCCTGCCGACTGCACCAAACTGGTTGATGGGGGGGGGTGACCAGAGCTGTATATAAAGACAACGGCGCCAACTTCACACCTTGGAACCAAAATGATGATTTTGCGTGCAGTACAGCATGCAGCAATTATGCTAATTATCCCATAGCCCAACCATGTTGATTCTCCCAAGACGGTCATGTCGCAACTCCAGCGACGACCGCAAAAGACGGAGTACACTGCGCGAAGCACTCCGCGTTGCAGTATAACCGCCTTGTAAGCCTCCATTTTGTTTCCACTGGATATCCATGTCATCTTGTTTTGCGCATGTGGCGGATGTAATAGATGTCAGCTTGTTTAATTGACGCCAGATTAAAAAAAAAGTATCAGAGAAGAAAGAAGCAAGGAGTAATCGGCAAAAGGGGAAGGAGGGAATGCAGAATAATGGAAAATGAAGTACAGCAAACAAGGACAAACTGACCAAAAACTGGGAGCATAGGCCCCCTATGAATGGAAGACGTGAGATATCGCGCTTGCTTCATTTCACAAATACCGGGTGGCTCATAGATGCGATCAGGGTAAGGCCGATCACCCAATACACACTGTTATTAACATTCTTTGATCGCACCCGGAAGGTGCATTGGAATGCAAAATAAAACAGGAGCTCTGATCTGACTCGCAAAGCAATGAAATATGGAAGCAAGCCTATACGTGCTGGTTCAAGAGCAGAATACAAAGTTGCAGACAACACGCGCAAACTCCCTCCAAGAAAAGGGGAGGGGTGAAAAGTTGACGACCTTTCCGCGCGCCATAAATTTCCCATCTCTGGGTCTTAAGCTCGGCACCTTGCGGCTAAATCAATCTTGCGGCTAAATTAATCATGGGGCGTATTGTGCATTGCATGACGTGAGGTGTGAAGTCAGTACCGCGATCTGGTCTTTATCTATTTGTTCGGTGATGCGCTGTTTTGATACCGTACGGATAGGCGGCTTTGTGGACTGACCCGAACACAATGCAACATCAATGTTGCATGTTGACTTCGGACCCTGTTTGGCACTGCTCGGAATGTACATGTACATGTATATCTCAGCAGCGATGCTGCTGCATCATTCATGCATAAGCCCCATGTGTATACTTCTGATCCAGCGTGACACAATGGCTCCCCCCACCCGGCTCGAGCGCTCCCAACACGGCGCAGCTCATGAAGAATTTACCGCTGCGCTCTTATATTTTCCCTGCGTAATAATGTCGTCTTGCCGGACTCCTCGGCGCCGACTAATTAATACGTTGGTTCCAGCGGAGCGCGCACGGAAAGGGTCCCACGGGAGACTCGGGCCGGGTAGCCTACTGCTGGGGGGGGGACTCCGGTCGGTTCCTGATGGCTGGAGTGACGGTAAGGGACACGGACAGCGAGTCGGAGGTAAACATGGATTTGTTTTGACAGTAATGGGAAGACGAGCGATGTAAGGAATTGGAGGACCAGACAGCAAAAAGAGGCGGGAAGTACGAGGGCGGTTGATGCTAACAGACGCGCGGGGGAGGCGAAAGAAAATAAGTGGCGAGGAGAAATGGGTGTCGTCGATTCTTTTAATTAAAGACGAGCCAAAAAAAAAGAAGAAGACGGAGATAGAAATTGGAAAAGCGATGCGGAGAATGGAGAGTGAAACGACATCGTTGCAAGCGGGGAGTTGCCCATTAATATAAGTGACTGTGGAAAGTTATCAACCAAGAGAAATTCTTATCTATGTAAGAAGGCAGCGGACGGGTAATTTTACATGGTTATATGTCAAGCAGCCTCCAAACTGTCAAAACGTTGTCTGCGCTCAAACACATCACACTCTTGAAATCTTCCACAAAAGACAAAACAAAGCACAGAAGTCAAACTCATAATTACCAACAAACGATTGCACACAGACAATATATCCAAGTTCGTCCAAATTTTCATTTACACCCGTCTTGTCACAAGTTAACAAGCGATATCAGTATACGTTGTTATATGCATTGGTTTGGACGGCACTTACAAAAATACGAGTACGCGAATTGTTAGCGGAATGTAGGCAACATTTTGTGTGGCATGCCCACCCTGCGTACAGTCCATTATGTATTTGAATGTAGGCCCACGTGGTCAGCACGTGTTGCAATCAGAAAACATGCTTACGAAGATAGCACAAATGGCTAGCCATAGCTGAGCACTGTGCTTTCCTATGTAGCAAAGGGACGGTGGGAAATTCTTGAGAAGCATTTTGACATCTTAACTACAGGTTTCTAAATAAAAATCGTAATTTGAGGACTACAAAAGTAGTTAACATTTTAACTTCAAATACACTAAGCAGAAACAAAGAAATCAGAACGCAGTTTACTGTGCACGCGTGGCAAACTGTCAGTAATTTTACATTTCAATTTATACAAACGTTACTTTTTATTCCTCAAAAACGTCTTAATCAGCGCACACAGGGCACTGTTAAACTATACATACAAGTCCAATAACGAGTTTAAAAATCCTTCCGATTTGAAAATAAATTTTAAGATTTTATTTTGGCTGGACGGATCAATCCTGTGAATGGATTTTTGAAAGGCACAACAGGCTGCAAATGATCATTTCACACAATCGTATTTCATCTGATTTAATTATTAACATCAAAGTAGTGTTTCAAAACTCACAGCAACTTTAACTTGAACATTAACTTTACAGACGTTACAAGCAAAATACAATACACATGGTTTTTTTTTATAAAAATCAATCTAAGTACGGCAGAGAGCAACCTTACTCCAATTAAATCTCTTCAGTCATATACTCAAACAACATCAAAATAGCATTGAAGCTTTGTGGAGTGACCCAAACTGGTAAATGTGGTTCTACTGGAATGCCAGGGATTTTGAGGAATCAATACTGTGGCTCATCTTTGTTGGTGACGCCAGTCCCAAAGAAATCATCGTCATCTGGAATCTCCTGCTTTTCGGCCTCTCCGTTAGCGGCTGGCTCTTCCGTCGCCTCCTGAGGATCTAGGCTGAAGCCTTTGTCGGTCTGCTGGTCATCCTTGCTTTCACGGAGCTCTGGTTCTTTCACATTGGCTGTACTTCTTTTGGCTGACCCACCGGATCTGTGAGAGGAATGGCTCTGTGGACGGCTGCTTGAGGTTTCCTGGGGCTCATGGTCAGTGTTTTCGTTGTAAGCCCTTTCACTGTCTCCAAGTTTTGCAGGGTCTTCGATAGATGTTTGAGATCTGTTGCTCTGAGGGCGGCTGCCGGGAGCTTCTTGGATATCAGTGTTGATTCTGTTATCAAAATGATTACTTGGTGATTGTCTGGGGGAGGACCTCTGGAGGTCTTCTCCTGATCTGACGGATCTTTGTGACGGAGGTCTACTGGTCTGCTTGGAGCTCACTGGCGAAGATGAACTGTCACGGCCATCACTTTGGAAGGATCTTTGCGAGTTTGAAGAGGGAGAACCGGGTGGTTGAGGTGCTTGCTCGCTGGTGGGCAACCTTTGGGACTTGATGGAGCCAAGAGGCGACGCTTGCTCCCTCCCTACAGAAGCCCTGGAAGATCTGGAGTTAGCAGCTGGTGATGATGGCTTCTCTCTATTTCCGTGAGAGGACCGGTGAGAGTTTGCTGATGATTTCCGACTTCCTTCTTTGTTGGTAAGTCCTGCTGATTGAAGGGATATTTGTGACCTGTTCTGCGGAGGATTATCAGATGCCTTGGTAGTGCTGTAGACAGATTTCAAGCTCTGCTGTGTATTCCGGATGCTGCTGTTCTTACTAGATGTAGACTTGTTGGATTTCCCGGACTGCAAGCTTGTTCTAGACTGCGCAACGGTACTCCTTTGTTTCTTGTCATTGAGACTTTGATGCAAGGAGCCAAAGCTTGATGATCTGTAGGCTGCGCCCTGATTGGCAGCGACCGTGGATTTCTGTGAGGCGGCTGAGGGTGTGTGGTTAGATCTTGCTGAAGCTTGGCTCTGTCTGGAGTGACTGGCAGCGGCTGATGTCCTGCTCCTGGCAGAATTCTGTGATCCCTCAGAGACTACTGAACTTTTCCTGGATGTCTCTTGGAGGGCTTGCTGGTGCTCCCGTTTTTCTGTCTCTTCCTGATCTGAGAAGTTTTCTGAGTTATATGAATCATGTGAAGCAGAGGAGTGACTGCGTAGGGAATCTTGATCATCATCCCGCTTTGTCCCACTTCTGTCACCGTCACTTATACCACTCCTGCCATCATTGCTGGCTGCATCGTCCTCGTGTCCCTCAGGCTCAGGCCTCCTATCAGCCACATCAAAGCCGTGTCTGTTATCATCTGCACTGTAGTTATCACTGTCACCTTTCTTTGAGCCTCCGACCGGTTGATTCTGGGTATTTTCCAATTCCCCACCAGAAGGGTCTGCGTTTTGATTCACATTGTCACTGCCTGCCTCTGAACTGGACCCTGCCATATCTCGATAGTCAAAAGCAGAATGCTGGTGCCTCTCACGCTCCAGGTGAGCTGAGCGGGCTGTCATCTGGGACTCCAGATCCTCCTGGGCTCCCTTGCTCCCAGCTTCCTGCTCATCATCCTCCTCCAGACCCCCCTCAGTGCCATTCTCTTGCTCCGGGAGTTCCAGGAGCTGCTCAGAGGCAGGCAGTAAGGGGGTGTGTTGCTGATCTGATCGGAAGGACTGCCTGGAACGCTGGGACTGGGAGGAGTGGCGGGCATCTGTGTGGCCTTGGGGGTCATGACCGTAAGCGGCCGCCGACAGTTTGGAGATGACCGAAGCCGTGCGGTCGCTCTGTGTCTCATCCTTCATTGGGGGCTGGGGTTCCTCTCGTTTGCGTGGGGATGGCTTGGGCCACTTCTTTCCACCATCTTCTGGGGCTCCTGCATGCAAGAAGGATATAATTTATTTTTAAATAGTAGACAGTGCTCGAGATGACCATCTTTGAACATGATCTCATCTGAATATCGCTTTTAAAGATATTAAACTCTGTATAAACGTTATAAAAATACAGCCCAACCTTTTTCCTGTGAGAGAGAGGAGCTAAATTTCGCTTTGTATAAGCTAAACAATTTTGAACACCAGTGTAAGGAAATATGAAACAAAGACAGAAAACTTAGAGAGTTTTGCTCCGATCATCAAGTGGTGTACAGCGCTGCACTCAAATCCATCACACATTCCGGCAAGTTCCTGCAAGTCTATAACAAGTCACTCAGTCTTAACACTAAAGGAGCCGCCCCCCTCCAAATTTTGTGTGATATCGCCGCAGTACATTTTTTTTCAAGAGCTGAGCCTTAAGGAGTTTTAAGAATAACTCTTTGCGGTCATTTTTACACCAATTTTGTGAAAATCAGCTGTACCGTTATTGCACAGCGCCAATGTTTCTGAGACAGGTCAGCTTAAAATGTGCACCTTTTCCGCTGCCATGCTCAATGCATGTCGGTTGGCATGCGAGTAGCCCTGAACTTCAACTGACCGTTACAACAAAACCATACGTCTAAATGAGTCCAAACTTCATATTTGTAATGATAAGCCATTGAGGAATGTCTTTGCAGGTATGCCAAGTTTGAAAAAATGATACAGCTCACTTTGAGGGGGGGAATAACCCGACTCTTTGAAGGTTAAACCAAGTCACACCCTTTTCAAACAAACTGTGACACTTAAGCATTCCTGTCACTGGTCACCCTGTCTGGCCTTCTGGCATAACTTGTGTCTGGATTCGTGAGTGAACCAGTGATGGACCCGACAACACCACAAGTGGTATATTCCTATTTGACAATGTACATGCAGGCAAATGACAAGGTGCGGAGGACAGCCGAGGCAGACACAAATTAAGCAGCTCTGCGTAGTAGGTCATCATGCAGGGGTGTAAAGAGAGCCACAGATAGATGATTTGCCCTCGGCACATTTTGCCCAGTGTATGGACAAAACAGTCAGGCTCATCCAGTGAGTCTGTTTGCTTCTGCAAATGGGCAATTGGTGCCACGTGATTCTACGAGTCCGTGCCTCGTCTATGCTCTAATTAGTGGAACATATCAAGGGCAAAGCATCAGCCGCAGCGGTTTGCCGAAGAAGGGCCGATATGTACGGGACAACAAACCCCATGCAGTAGGGAACAGTGTTCCACGGTCTCTATTCATTCAACTATATGTAATGTAGCTTAACATAAAAAAAGTTTGGAGGGCGTGGGGGGGATGGCATGGTAGGAAGGGAGGGGCTGGGAAGGGGCTGGCCCGGACACAGATCTATAGTGAAAGACTTCAAGTGCAATACCTACCATCGGATAGTTGGAAGGTTATATATTTAATCCCAAACTGTGAGCAGTATCAGGACAAACACAGAACATTGGTTAGTATGATGTGGTGGGGGGAGACTTCTGACGCAAAGATGAGTAAGATGGAACACTACAACGTTTCCAGAGGACACGCGACGCGGGAGGTGTGGACAGTGTGAATCCCACTTCCCCTCCATTCCTTCTCTCAATCTACACACTCTGTGGAGATTTTTGAAAACTTCCAATTCTAATGAATACATTGCCACCATTCTTTCAACAACAATTCCTCCGGTAACCTTTGTGCATTTCTATGGCATGTTTGTGAATCAATTAAAGACGGCACATCTGCTAAAATCCTGGAGCTAAACATGTAGCGTTCGCATTGAAGTTGACTCATTAGAAATTGGGATTTTTACGAATGCCTGGGAACTACTGAGATGCTTGTCTGGAATTAGTAAACTAAAGATGTCGGTGTTAAAAGATCTTGCAGTAAAATACAATGGGCAAAAAGGAACCCACCTGGGTCAAGTACCAGCGCAGCACCGGCCATGATCCAGTCGTCCGTGGGGGCGGGGCAAGGCAGCTCCAGGGTGAAGGCCGCTACCTGCCGCGATCGGTTCATGAAGACCGGGCAGCTGTATTTCAAGGATGCTGGCTCGGTCTCCTCTGCCGGCTGTCTCTGGTTGGTGGATCCGCTGCTGGCCGGTCGACTTGGACTGGCGCTGGGCCCGGGACTGGAGCCACCAAGGCGAACCGGACGGATGTAGATGCTGGGCATCTTGACAAGACTGGACCTGTTTCATAGCGCGGAGGCACATAAGAAAAAATTTCAAACAAGTTTTAAGTTTTGGGTAATGAGGGTTAATTCTTATGGGTTTAACCCATCTGCTTACTAGCGGATGAGCGTCTTCATACAGGTGTGCACGTTTGCTGATTAATTATGCAAAAGAACCTTGACCTCCTCAATTTGACTGATCAGCAGCCAGGTACTATGTAATTCTATCAAAATAAGAGGATTGGGACTGTAACAATTTCGTAAGTACAATATTAATGCGCATCAATCTTTGCATTTAGAACACAAAGCATGATAGAGGAAACAACAGAATTACTGTTATGACTGTGCAGTGAGTGCTTTTGTTGAAAAATACAATTTTCTTTCTCAATTCATTAGTATGGGGAAATTTGTCCGCAGAGTTACAAAGCATAAACTTTGACCGAGTGAAATCAAACAGACATAAATGTATCAAAACGAACACAGAACATCTTACCCAGCGGGGGCCAGGCAGCCGTTATCAAGGTCCCAGGAGGCTCCCTCTAGGTAGACGCCTCGCAGGTACATGCCGCCCTCGTGGGCGATCTCAAAGGTGTCTGCCTCCAGGGAGGAGGAGACGTCGCAGGCGATCCCGATCTGTGGCATCGCAGAAGCAGGCAAAACATTTTAATTAATAATGAGTGAGGAGAACAAGACTGACGGCACAAAGTCGGAGGAGGGAATTGTAACATGTACACAAGCCTGATTTCCATTTGGGGCGCGGGTTCCAGCACATGGTAAAAAACACTGCAGAAATGCAAGTGCAGAACTGCACACCAGATGTCAAGGAGTTTCATAGCTTGGTATCCCTAGGTCTAAGTCCCGCCAAGGCCATCACATGAATTGGGTTCCAGACTTTTTTTGGATGACACAGTTTTTTCCAGAATCTTTGGGAGGTTTTCCTCCAACTGCCCCCTTCATCTTCTGTCACAGCTTCTTCAGGTTTCCGAGGTAGAATATGTTTGCAATTGTGAGAAATGTTGGGTTTCAGTATCTAAAAATATTCAAACAGTTTAACGAAAATAAGCGTCTTCAATGTGAGAAGTACATATGCTTGACAATAGAGATCTTTTTGCTAGGCCTACCTCTGAGATGAGGCATCCCTCCAGCGCCGACTTCTCCTGTCTGAGAGCCGTGATGACAGCCGTGGGGTTGGCCAGCCCTCCCATCCAGACCGACATGAGGCTCCCCTTGGGCGGGCTGGGCCTGTCTGGGTCCTGGGAAGAGCTGGGCACCTTGCCTTCCTTGATCCAGGTCCGCAGCTGGCTGAAACGCTTCAGTATATCTGGGAAAAAATGGTTTTTCAGTCAGATCAGAACCCTGTGGCCTAATGTAAGATACAGGTAGCTTAAATAAACAATACAGATTCTGATTTTTAACCACTGGGTGCTGACAACCTAAACGACATGTATAAAGTACAAGCAGTTGCTGGAAAGACTTTTATCATCCTACCCGCGGAATTTAAAATGGTCTTTGACAATTTAACACAACACACATAAACAACTTGCAACATTCCCTTAGAAAATCCTTAGAATAAGCCAATTCCATTTAACAAAATAAAAATATTGCAATACTCATTAAAAATTACAGATAATAAAATAATATTCCCCAAAAGACGCAGAATAACAAGTAGAAACACAAACAAGGCTTGAACGTAGTAATTACATGTAAAAGGGCAACCTGCTTGTGCATTTGGAAGTAGTTTGGCAGTTTTGCCTAATTTGTCACCAGCTGATTTTAACAACTCAGATATGGGACCAATTTGCAACGATTCATCTACATGTACTGGGAAGGAAACGTGTTCACCTGTCGCATGTCACATTCATGTACAGGACTGCAGTGACAGCTGCCGGTGCAGGTTTAGTCTATAGAGGCTTTGCGTGGTAGCCATCTTACAGGACAGTTCTTTTGTTCAAAAGGGCAGCACAAAAGATGTTTCCCTGTGAAACAAAAGAACTGCCCTGCAAGATGGCTGCCATGCAAAGCCCCTATATATATATAGTTCTTGTCAATGGTCTTGAAATTTAAAAAAAAGACAATCTGCTGGTTGAGCTTTCTAATCAGCTGCTCTGTGAATCAACAATTACCTCTTCGGTTTGATGATTTTATCCCCTTTCTTTGTGAAAGCGTACATTTCACCTACTATCTGAGAAACATGCTATAAGACCTCAAGGTCTGGTGCAACGAAACTCCAGATCATTTGGGTGAGTCCACCATGATTGCATTACGATCTCTGTCCTCGAAAGGTCATTTCATCCTAACTTACTTCTCCTGACCTGAGGGGTACAAAGTCACAGGTAAGTGCAGACGTGCTAACTAGCCACTACTCCTAATATGACTGCAATGGAAAGCTTCATATTCCTATTACCTGAGGCTGCCTCAGAAGATTATGTCTGAGGCTAGGTCTACGTCTTGACTGGTTGCTTATCATTAATGCACAGGCAGATGATGACAACAGACGCAGCCATAACAGACCTCATTCACAAGGAAGCCATTTTAATCATGTTCCCTAAATCTATCTTACTCGGTGTAATCTGTCAAACTGAATGGTGCCAGACTATTTGGGTTCCTTGCCTCATTTTTTATTTGTTTTTGTCGCTTAAAACCTTCAGATAAAAACCACTTATTTCAAAATACCGGCATTTGCCTTCGTTAATGAAATGAATCTGTAATGAATTATTTTTCATTGCTTTCATTTCTATTCTCAGATTCCCAAAGTAAAACAGTTAACCTCACTAACAATTCAATATGGCCGACTTAATGTGATTAACCCCTTCGCGCCAGCAATTCTTTTGACCGTGACTGCTGGGCTGTGGTATGCCCTGAATGGAGGGCTTTGTCCATCGAGCAGGCCCCGTTGAACCAGCAGCTGCATGGTGAATAGACTGTATGTGTGGTATGCACTAATCCTTACACAAAGCCGAGGCTCTTGCCGTCTCCCGGAGCGAAGGGGTTAAGTCCAATTCTGGAAGCCTGTTTCAAACACGTCCTGTATGCCTCAACTGAAAATGGTTCTAAAGAATCCTTTCTAGAGGGATACTGGTGACCTACCTGTGACCCAGGAGTGTAGCGTGTGGCCCAGGGGCTGCCTGTTGGGGTGCACCCAGGTGACAGGCACCAGCTCCTTCTGCAGCGCTCGGGCGCACTTGGCCAGGGTGGGCGGCATACCCCTCTCTCCGCCCAGCAGGTGGGCCTGCAGGTCATGCAGCATCTGCCGGACGTGGCATAGGAGGGAGTTGAACCAGTGGCACTCCTGGGAGAAGAAACAATGCCAAACCAAGTCATTGCCAGCAGTCATACTTCATCGCCGATTTGGGCATAATTTCGTCCGTCTTGGCCCCTTCTTAGGGTCTGTGGACCCAAGGCAGCCCCCCTTTTCTGCTACACAGTGTTGCAGTTGACACAGAGATCAGACCAGACACAAGACCAGACTCACTCATTGGACACATATGTGAGACAGGACACAAGACCATACAATGCACTACAGGTATGCATTAGTTCAGACTGGAACCCGTAAAGTCACCGAGCAAATGCATGTGAAAAAGTACGCAACTTTACAGATGTACAAAAAAATTCCATGTACCCGTAGTCTTCATGAGCTACACATGCATGTTAGTCACATTCATGCAGAAGTTCAGTACATTGGCACTGAAATTAATTTGGGAGAGGGAAATCCTGTCCACTCTTTTTCTCTTCCCAGGGCATCCATTTTCATGTCACAAAATGTGAAAAGAATGTCCCACTGTGGGAAAACATTTTCATACGTTTTGACACAGGTGAAAAAACGTGTTCATGCCTTTTCATCCAAGAGGGAAAATATTTTTCACACCATGTGAAATGCAAATGTGAATTCCTTTCATTAAAAATTCCCATTCCTATTCACGGTGTTAACTTCCGACTGCACTGTGTTGTACTCTGGTCTTGTTAACTTCCGACTGCACTGTGCTGTACTCTGATCTTGTACTTAAGCTTGTGGAAACATACTCATCTATAACATTACCCCTGGGACTAACCTGCAGCAAGACGTAACCGATGGATTGCGGCATCTCGGCGCTGGCCACGCTCAGCAGGCTCATGAGGGAAGGGGCGTGGTAGGGGAAGGTGTAGCGCTCCTTCTCGTTCACCACCTGCAGCGGTAGCTCGCCCAGATCAAGCAGCGGGGGCAGCCGCTCCCAGACGCCGTCCAGGGCCGTCTGGGCCTTGGTCAGGTCCAGGGGGCCGTTCGCCGGCTCCAGGGTGGCCGTGCCAGTGTGCTGCAGCTCGTAGAGTGTGTCTAGGTGGTGTAGGAACTCGTCCCCACTGGAACAACCAAGGAAAAAATTGAGAACTTTACTGGACTCGCTGGCGAACTGGAGTCGCAGAGATGTCTGCCCTCGTAAGCAGTAGCTTTTGGGTTCGATTCCAACTTCAGTGGTTTTGATGACATCAGGATAATCAAGTTGAGTCTCGTCAATTATACAAACACAGGGGTAGCAGGCCAAAATGTTTATCTCTGAACTTTGCATTAGGAGAAGTGCCAGTCTCATTCCATACATGCGCAGTCAGGACTGAGACCTCATGTTCAATATAACCAACATTTTTTATAAAAAATGATTGCCTTTATTGCATCTTCTGCAGAATGTAGCACAGTGTCTCATGTATAGAGGTTCTTCCATGAGGTTGGGGCACAATTTGTGATGGTGTCCTTGTTACATGGGTAACTTTTACCTTTTGAGCATTTTTCTCCTTAAAACTAAAGTTCCAAAAACTGGGAGAGTTGAAGCCTTCAGTTTATTTTGTAATCCTACCTTTGTGCCTTCCCCGTTCAATGTCTTCCCTCCTGAAGGTTCAGTATTTGGCAGAGAACTTGGCACTCCAAAAGTACCTGACTAAAACACCGGGAAGGTACGGCATGCAAACAAACCACCATGCCAATGTGCCTTGGGTTTCATTCCAAGAGGACTCACTTGATTTTGTTGACAACTTTTTGGATTCCCTCGTCAAGGCTCAGGGCTTGCACCGTGGCAACTCCCTCCGTCCACTTCTCCTCAAACCAGCGGGCGTAGTCCACGGGATCCACGTTGGCTGGGGGCGTTGGCAGGGGTACGCCTCCTAGGGTCAGGCTCCCCGACTGGCTGGTGGTGGTCAGTAGGACGTGGTGGGTGAGGGCTGAGAGGTAGAGACGGTCCCAGGCGCTGGTGAGGGTGTTGCCGTACACCACCTGGTTAGCAGAAGTGGGCAAAGTTGACAAAGCTATGATTGAGGATGAATAATGATGGAAACTCTGTCACAAGGCTCAAAAAAAAGTCAATCACAGATCAGTTAGAGGTCAATTACATTAAAGTCAATCACAAGTTGGTTACGGGTCAATCATAAGTCAATCACAAGTCATTTACGGGTCAGTCATAAGTCAATCGCACAAGTCAGTTACAGGTCAATCATAGGCCAATCAGAAACCAGTTCCAGGTAAAATCAGTAACAGAAGTTAACCTGATCAGACCTCTACTATTTTATACAGTACCCATGGGTTCTTTAGCAAATGGGCTCGCCTGTGTTCAGGAGTGAGTGCCCTCTACTACGTATCCGTGAAGAGTACCGGCGAGGGCAACTCAGAGCGGGAATACAACATACAAAAATAGTCCAGGTGGGGGACTGCTAGCTAAACGAAGCTTGTGATTCCAGGTGTAAAACCTGGAATCACTTTTTAAATTCAAGCATAAATGACATAAATATGAAACAAGACAAAAAGCAATTCGCTATTCAACACAAAGTACCCACTTCGGTCAAGACAGTACACAGTTCCTCCACCCCGATCTCCTTGCTTCCTTGACCTTCTACCGTTGACCCTAGGATGACCTCCACGGCGTGGTTGGGCTGGACGGTGGAGAACGCGTACCAGCGTGACAGGCCCCGGGTGCCAAACATCTGCCGGGCCGACAGTACGCCGTGGATGACGCAGGAGCCGAAGGCAGCTCCTCGAATGTACGTGGACATCTCCTGGATTTTCTTCCAGTTTTGCTGGGTGACAGCGTTCAGAGCTGACACAATTGCTGTTCAAATACAAGTCTGGAGTTTATTTTACGTATTCCAGGATCTTTCAGAAGTATTGATTACCAATTTTTTTTTGGGGGGGGGATAAACCACTTGCTGACTTGCTCCTATGAAACTGTCCTAGGTGCAGTACTATGTCTGGCCAAAAATACAAACGTTTTAAAATGACAAGACGCCACACCCGCAGTTCATTTAAAGTTTGACCTCACAAAGCATGACCCTTGACGGTCACTTGCTTCACAGATTTATGCTACATTTCTTTTCACTTTGTCATCCCTTTCTTGAAGCTCAGAAGACAATGCCACAGAGCGATACTAGAAAAAATAGAACCGACTGGCTGCATGGGCCATGGCTGCTTGGGGGCTCCAGCCGTTCCACTCATACTCGACCCCTGTGGACTGAGTCAGCCTCTGTACATGTGTGTGTGTGTATACAAACTCAGAGGACTCATTCAGGCATGGGGACGAGTATAAACACCACCGGGCTCTGCATACGGAACTCACCGCACCATACTCTGTGTCATGACTCAGGGATTGAGTTCTCATAAATGGTACCCCTCAGTAGGTACTCACAAACATAAAAAGAGCACCCATTCAAGTGAGTAACTGCACTTGAGAGTAAACGAGGCATCATTTCAACATTCCTATCGGTGGACTATAGGACAGGGCCATCTGACAGATAACAGTGACTTGTAGTGAGTGAATAATGGAGGGGGGTGTTGCTTCACTGAAACCACACAGCCTTGGGGGTAGTGCAATTTAAAGACAGTTATCGGTTAGAATTGGCCACTCGGGAACACTACCTGATAGCCAACCGATAATAAATGTATCAATCGGACCATTCTGTCCGACACCTACCTGATAAGAATTTTGAAACCGTGCCTAGGTGTGATTGGTGATCAGCAATTTTATACTAAGAAATCAGCAGAGACAAATGCTGGCTTGATTAGTAATTTGCCAAATTCCAAGTGATAGGAACTTGTCCTTGAGCTTACCTATCTTCAAGAGGTCGTCCAGCGAGGAGTCGTTGCTGGGAACCTCGGCCCCGGCCGAAGCATCCTCTGCATTCAGTACCTGCTCCGTCAGGTTGTCCCAACAGACAACGCGCAGCGACTGCAGCAGGGCGTCCGAGAGCTTGGAGCTGGGCTCGCTGGTCAGCCAGACGCAGAAGCGCGACTCTGACTCCCGGCTGATAGGGTTGAGCCCGAGAGGTCCTTGACATTTGAAATGAAAAAAAAAAGATGAGAACATGCAGCGAAGTACCTTCCTATCCTGGGGACAGGGATTTGGATCCTGGCAGAAGGTTACATGTTCTGACCTTGGGTATTAAAGTCACTTTGCTACCATAAATATCTCGTTTTCACTTTGTCATCATTTTTTTTTAAGCTCAGAAGACAAAGTCCCAGAGCGATACTAAAATATGGGTGCCTATGAGGGTAGATATGTCTTAAAATTCCTTTGTGCCTGATACGGCACCTCCCCCCCACCCCGAGCTGAAATAGTATCAGGGATTTTCAGATGTTGAGAGACCAACAAGCACGGATAATGAAAAAGACAAAGTTGCCTTTGCATGGAAGTAAATGCCTGACTGTCTCAAACACGAGGTCTATGTACTACATAACCTCCATTATCATGGAGACATAAGCTTGTCTCCATAACTTGCTCCCAATTTTCAAAACGAAAGAAGCTGTCCCCTGAAAGCAGGGCTAGTCACGATACACACACAAACATATGAAATAACCACACAGACTCAACACCAGCCGCACATATTAACTACTGGGCTCATATCTGATACAAACCTCCCGTGTTGCCCACTCGTATCAGCTGGTGTCGTAGACCAGCCAGCAGGTTATCGGAGGCCAGATGGAGGTCTTCGATGACCAGCCATCCGTCATGGTCGGCTGCCGTGTCTATGGCAATGTTGACCCCAGATTCAGCTCCGTCGCCAAGCGTGATACAGTTAAAAGGAATGTTTTTACTCTGCAAAAATATAACAAACTTTACTGCTGAAAAACAAGGGCATTAACGATAACAACCAATGGAGGTTGTCACTGAATACCAACATGGATCTTGACAGTTTAACAAAAAGCCACGAACAGCAAAAAAAGCACACACATGATTTAATGTTTTGAATTATTTCCTGAATCTCATTTGAGGGCCGTTAGCCACAATACACTTGATGATAAAACCTGAAAGGAGCACCTGTCCTATCATTCTACAGACAGGTTCAACAGAGGTTTCTGGGATTTAGCTGTAAAATGGGAGTTCACCAATGAAACAACCACCACAAAAGGATTGCATTGAGTCACTACTGCACCTGATATCAGCTGATTAACTCTGACAAAAAATACTTTATTGGCTCTCAGTCCCCCAAAAACTCAAACAAAATCTGACTTGAAAAGGAAAATGATGGGAGTTGAAAGACCTGCATTTCACTGACTGAAGACCTCCTACCAAAGAAACTATGCCTTCCTTTGCGTGCTTTAGTTTTGGGTCACATCCATGCTCTTTCAAGATATCCTGAGTTGGGGTTCTGGAAGTCCAAAACAGCCTTCAAGAGGCATAGTTTGAGATCTGTACCTGAGCAATGGTCTTCAGCACGTCCACCGGCTTGGCCTTCATCTTCATCCCGCTTCCCAGCTGGCTGTTGCCGAAGGCCGGCGTGGGGGGCAACAGGACCAGCACGCCCAGCAGCCGCTGGGCACTGCCCAGCAAGCTGCCCACCGAGCTGGCCAGGGGCTTGACCGAGGTCAAGTGGCGGCGGACGTAGTGGGCCACAGCCGCTGGGAAGCGGTCGGGCCGCAGGAGGCGCAGCAGGATGAGCTGGTGGAACTCGGTTAGGCTGCCAAGGTCAGGGGTGGAGTGGGCCGAGGTCTGGCCCTCTGCATCCACCAGCCGAGATTGGTCTGGGAGGAGGGAAAGATAGACACTGTTTACAGACATGCTATGGTGGCAGAAGTGGGATATTTGGATTAGTATACACAGAGTACATGGATCCTGTTTATGTTGGTGGGGAAGGCATCGTGTAGAGTCACAGCAGCTATCAAACTGGATTTGTCTATGAGAAAGAATTGACATCAGCTAGATTTTAACAGAGGCAGAGGTAGGACGGACATTTGGTACACAAAAGCAGATTCTGTTTTAAGTGGGCACCTACCAGCCTGGAATGGTCTGTTAAAAATAATTTACACCAAGTAAATCTGATGGAATCAGAAGTGGTGCGCTCACTAACACAAAATAAGTCGATACCACAGCTCCACTGGAAATGCCACTCATTCAGGATTAACCCCTTCGCTACGGAGGACTGCTACTACAGCACCGTTGTATGAGGATTAGTGCATACCACACATACAGTCTATTCACCACGCAGCTGCTGGTTCAATGGGGCCTGCTAATGGACAAAGACCTCCATTCAGGGCATACCACAGCCCAGCAGTCGAGGTCAAAATAATTCCGCCGTGAAGGGGTTAAGAACCTCGTACATTTTTTAATTATTCACATATTCGTGCATCTGCATCAGGTTATTAAGGGAAGGATCAGGTGCTTTGGTATTCGGACAAAAAAATGTAAAAAAATGTAACCCAACCTGGAAACAAATACCGTAAGAGCCACTTTGAGTTGAAGACCTTTAAGGAATCTTGCACAGAGTAAATCAACAGGAACGCAACAGTTTTCATCCATGTAATGTCTCTTTTTAGCCAAACACCGAACCCAGTCATACAGACAGAGAACTCAATTAGCTCTGTCTAATGCAAGCTCAAGCAAAATTCCTCAAGAACAACACATCTGGCAGGATCTGGTCACAAAGATACCACTGACCTTCTCCGGCAGTCGCCGGCCTATATGGCAATGGCTCCTCCTCAGGGTTGGTGGTCTTGTACCACGCCTCCCAGTCGGCAGGCTGCTGGGCAAACTGGACGCACAGTCCGTCCAGGGGACCGGGCAGGACCGACACGGCCATCAGGTCTTCCCACTGGTCGGGGGTCAGAAAGTTCGGCGGCGGAGAGTCACACTCAAAGTCGGCCAGAGACAGCTCCATGTTTCCAAGGCCCGGATTGCCTGCATTTGGAAAGTAAACAAACTATCTTGGCAAAGGTCCAAATCAATTATGATGCAATGTTTGGGGAGGGGTTTTAATTTGTAGGGAGCGAGATTGAGGGATAAAGAGAAATCCAGGAAACAACTAGAACACGGTTTGGAACAATGACAACAGTCCTATGTACAGATGACATTATAACAGTATTACAAAGAGCAGTGTATTGGTGAGATAGAATGAGAAACGGTGGTGTGCACACTACCATCAAAAGCATTATGAGTACAGTTGAACCTCGTTAATACGATAGAGGTCCTTCAGACTTTGGAAATTACCTTGTTATAACAGGAACCCTTTTATTATTAAAATTAAAACAATGAAAAACAAAGGATTGGGACCTAATAATATTCTTGTTGTAAGCAGAACCCTATATTGACAGAGCTCTTCTTAACAAGCTCAACTCTACCGTTACGAACATTTCCAAAAGGCGCAACAATCGTTTTCAATCTTCCAGGGAATTCTCTTCCGCAACTGGAATGTGGTAAGAATGCAATTTCCACTTTCGTGTGACCGAATGTATTAACTCATGCGTGTGCCACTCCACCGACTGGTGGCATATACAGTACAACAGTCTTTATCCTATCTTATCATTCGCTACACTAAACGCATCAGTCATCAGTACATCCATGTCGGGCTGTGAAATTCCGCGTCCTTTCAGGCCTTATGATGGCAAACAAGGCTTGCACTGCATACATGTAGCTACGATCATTTGAATCCTGCATTCGGTTTGCAAAATTCTGCAAAAATCGTATCCCTGGGATTCTGCATTTTCAAAAGTTATGCGGTCTAGTGGGATGTGATAGCAAGCCAGGTTACTGTGTAATCAGTGGGAGAAATTCATGGTACAGGGCGCCAAGATCATTGAATACAGCAATACACACAGCGACAAAATTACGCTTCATTATACAAAAACCAACCGTGCACCACTTCTTGCAAACTTAATAACCAGAATTATTTTAAATATAATTGTTGCAAAGCCATCCGACAAACCTTGGAGGAGCAGAGCCAGTTCCTCTTCGGAGAAGAGCTCGGTGGTTTCGTACTGGATGTTGAGGCAGAGCATGGAGGCAAACAGCAGGCGATGCTCCTCGTACAGCGACCTGATGAGAGAGAGAAACCCAGGACACAATGGAACCGTAAATCAAGTCATCCCTACTGCATCGAAGCGGTGACTCGACCTCAGGGAATGAGTCCCAAGTAGCCAGAAACACTTTTGATTGAAAGGCCTTTGGAAACAATCTCGCACTCTATCCCTTTGATATTCAGTTTAATAACAAATGATTGCCAATTTTCTCTTAAACTCAATCAATGATAATGACAAGATTTCCTGCCTTTGTACACTTGTGAAATAAGACATGAATCCATTTTTAATGGCTACATTCTTGGGTGCTTCTGGAGGTAACAGAAATTTTCCATCAAAGAAAAACAGGCACATGCTTTTTCACTGTGTCGCATTCCGATTAAGACCGGTCTACAACATAACCATGGACACTCACTGCCTGACGTTCTGGAAGACAGTCTGGGTCAGACAGTCCACCAGCTGCTTGACCTGATTGGCTGACAGGTTGGAATATTCCACTCCTGGCGTGGGGAGGTCCGGGAGGTCGGGCACGGCCATCTGGGCCATGATGCGCTGCTGGAGGCTGTCCTCCTGGGACGGCATGTCCCGGTTGGTGGCAGCGGCAGGATCCTCACCTAAGAGATTTCAAATTAACAATTGGGTTGGGATAAGTTCACGGAAAAAGTGGCAGAGAGTTAGGACTATGTATAAGGGGCCATATCAAAGTAGATAATGACACATGCATTCAACCAGAACTCAGAACAGTTTTAAAAATGATTACCATAAACTCTTGAGGGAAACTCGGGCACTGACTAACACCTAAGGGAGTGTCTCAGTAGTTGGAAGGCTATAGGACGTTCTAAAAAACAGGCTTCCAAAGAAATCTTGAAGCTAAATTCCACAACTTTTCCAGGACTTTCCAGCACTATGATAAATTCAATGACTTTGAACACCACTTGCAGGAAAACGTTGTTTGGTATCATGAAATGGCAGACTGCCACAGCCGTTGTTACGGACTGACAAGGATAACCTGTACATTTATCCTCATTCTGTTACCACATCAAAAGTGGCACTTGGCCCATCAAAAATAACCCTTGAATGATCTCAAATTAATTTTACCATGCTTTATTTCCCCCTCTGTTGACAGGACTGCATGACACCCAATTTCCCCCATTTCTCGTGACTTTCCAGGTAAACTGTTCTACCCAGGACCTTCCGTGACTGCGGCAACCCTGCAACAGGACCGCTGTTTTTTTTCTAATCGGCAGCAACCGTCAGCGCCGCGATTCGCTACGCTCACCCGTGGAGCCAGGTGCTTCGCTTCCCTCCTGGGTGATTCCGCTGTCTTGGGCATCTGAGTCGGCCTGCTGGGGTGCCACCTCGGTGAAGCGGGTACTAGCGCTGGCCCCCGTGGGCCGCACGGGGGAGACGTGGCTTCCGGCTTCCGTGGTATTGTCAATGTCCTTGGATGGCACAAATTGTACACATAAAGCATTAGACTTTGAGCTTTCATTTGAAGACGGTATGTAGAGGCCAAAATCACTTAACTGGAAGCTAGAATTAAAATCCCCAAGAATTCACAAATGGCTACTGTGCCAAACTTCCTACGAAGCTCAGTGGCATATCCAGCTGTGGGGGGGGTGGAAAAACTCGCCCCCCTGATGGATTCAAAAAGATGTTAAAAAAATATAGGTGAGTAGAAAAGAAACTTATCGGTACATTTATTTATCAAAGAAATAGGCTACATAATAGAAAGTAAGTTTGCGGTAGCACCATGGACGTATCTCTTTTGCGAGTATTTGCGGTTCTGAAAAGAACCGGTGGTACTCGACGTTTCGAACAGTATGCTCTGCTCGTCATCAGGAGAATAGGCTACATGTTTTCTCCCCCATTATCAAGTTGAATGAGCCCAAAAGTGCATTTGCTTTTCAATCCCCCCCCCCGACATCAAAAGCTGGATATGCCGCTGATGAAGCTATCGCACGGGACATGAGGCTGGTTGAAGTAAAACACACTTAGGGACTGCTTAGGTTGACACGTAACAAATATCGGGCTGAACAAAGGAACTGACTCAGTGGCATGATATGAACTGGGTGCCTCCTGGACTTCACAACAGAACTCTACCAACACGGCCGTCCAGCCTCAGCTTGGTGGCATGACCAATCGTTGTCTATTCCAATGCTGTCCCCGGAGGCAGACTGCGGTGAAATTTCAAAAAATGCAACCGACGCCTTTGGGTCTGCATTTGGTGTGTTATAGACCCGTTTGGGGCGTAAACACTCATGCACCAGCTAACGGAAACAAAACTCAGTCCTCCTCTCCCGAATGTAAACAAAGACGACACTGGATGAGACGAAAACTTTGTGCACAGTATTCTAGGGGAACAAATACAGACCCCCCCTCCCCCAAAAAGGGGGGAAGGGTAAAAAGGAAATGAACTATTGGACTCACTTCTCCCTGGTCGTCATCCTCTTCTTCTGCCTGGTCCTCCCCGACGGCCTGGTCAAACATCCACAGGAAGAACGGCAAGGAGAACTGGTACTCCCGCTGGAGGCCGACCAGGCTGGACACAACGCTGAACAGCATGGCGCCGCGCTTGGCTACGGGCAACAGCTCCTCGCGGATGTTCTCTAGTGTATCCAGGATGCGCTCTGCTTCCAACAGCTTGGCGTACACCTGATAGAGGCCCAAGAAATGCAAGAAGATTTCGCAATTATTGACTACTGTGACGCGGGAGGTGTGAGGTTTTACCGACGAAACGATTCGTAGCACCCAGGGCGATTTTGTTGTACAAGTCTTGGTCAGCCTCACTGATATCCGAGTAACAAATCAGGATATCTTGCTGGCCATGCAGAGCTGTGCCGACAAGTGAAGCAGTGGTTCCCGATACCTTCACTGTAATGTGTGTGGGGATCCAGTTTCAACCACTTCCTCATTGAAACACTAAATGAAGTAAAAGCTTCAAAATCTTTCAGTGTAAACACAGAGATCAATGACTTCATCTCTGATGTTGGTCTACCTTTATAGTTTTTTCACGTGGAGATCGGTGCCTCGGCTACAAGACACTCGACAGAATGCCCTCACCTGTTCTTTGTTGTCGACTATGGCAGAGACGTACTCCGTGTGGGCGGTGATGTCCCCTGACCCCACCTCTCCCTCCAGCGTCTGCAACAACTGCTCCTCAAGCACCTGACGCAGTCAGTCGTGGTGATGACAAGTCACGCCATTCCCATGACAAAAAAGCCCACCATTGAATGTTATTAATATAGTACCAACCTCAAGAGGTCCGTCGGGCAGTGTTGTATTCGAGTCCATCAGAAGTCCCTGTAAGTCCATCGCAAGTCATTTGCTCTTAGCCAATTCATAAGCTATTCAAATAAGCTGTGACAAAAGCATTCTTTTGTCACTGTTCGTTAACTTATGTGAAGGGACTTGCGAAAGGACTTATGATGGACTCGAATACAACACTGCCATCGGGCTGTGCCGATTACCTTGTTTTATAACAGGAACCTTAACTGCATTATCGGAAATGAAAACACTGAAGAATTGTTTTCAATTTTAAAAAGTCAATAATGGTATTGGGACCCCAAACTTTCCTTGTTACCTTGAGCCAAGAAACAACAAAATGGAATATTTGTCTAAAATTGAGAGTCCAAATTCTTTCATCCACAAAACGACAACTCGTTCCCCCCCGTGAAAAGTGGTAGCACCATTTCTGAAATACTACTTTCAATTCCTTAAAAAAAAATTGAAACAAAAAATGGCAACTTGCCCCACGTTGCACACGCCGGTGTTGTAGTCGAGACCACTTAAGACCTTCACAAGACCTCTAGTCTGAATTCAAGTCACAAGCGACTCAAATGAACTGCGACAAAAGCATTCCTTTGTCATTGTTCGCCCTACTTGTGACTGGTCTTGCGTCTGGTCTCACGATGGTCTTGACTACAACACTGGCACACGCAGCTAGGGTCAATCGGTACACAGCACCGTGAGGTGTCTGTATAAACTCTTGAGGGCTGCCTACCTGCAGCGTGGCCCGGTGCTGCTGAATGGCCCTCAGCACCCGGCGTCGCTCAGCCTGCAGCTGGGGCGCCACCCGGCCAAACGCCCGCCCCAGCAGCTCCTCCCGCAGCCCCTCGGGGGAGGGGCTGTAGTTGACCAGGGTGGTGGCCGAAGCCACGGCCGGCGAGAGGGTGGGGCGGGGCAGGGAAGTGGTCATGGAGACGCGGAAGTCCTGGTGGGCCAGCAGCCGCCGCCCGCAGTACTTGATGAGGCGGGCGTCTGATTGGTTTGGAGAAGAGGGAGACGGAAAATTTGGAGTTCTAGAAGGAAGACAATCCCTCCCCCCTAAAAACTAGCTTACATAGTTCGCAAGAGTATAATTTTTTAAAATTCTTATTTTAATTACTTAATCTTTTTTATTATTTGATTGTTCAATCCATTGTAATTCAGTTTTTTTAACTGCGAAAATGGATTTTTTAATAAACCAATATGAAATGAAAATGAAATGAAATTTAAGCTTAATGATGCTTTTTATTTCGATCTCCGATATGCCCCATGGACACAAGCAATCAAAATTGACTTGCATGGTAACAAGAAAGGACAAATTTAATATTGCTATTATTTTTGGACCGGACAAAAACCAGAAAATAAAAAGGCCTAGACATTTTGGATGCAACGGATTAGTTGCTTGGGCCGCTTTTGTATATTTGTGCTTAGCAAATTTCTGTACAAATCAGAATTTGGCACTGGCCTCCTGGTGGACAGTTTAATCTCCACACTACTCGGATGTGCACTGTACCTTCGGCTGTGCTATGCTCGTTGCCGTGGTTGGCGTGGTGGATGAGCGGCATGACCATACTGTCCAGTCGCTCGTCACAGTTGACCAGCAGCAAGGGCAGGCCAGACAGGATGGCCTTCTCCACCTGGACCACGATGGACGGGTCAAACCTGGAAGGGACAGGTAAAATGAAGGAAGAGGTCAGAGTGCGCAGAGGTTCGTCTTCAGGCAATCCTCGCAGAGGCCGACAGATGTCATCTAGGGTGGAGGCTTTTTTTCCGGAACGGGACAGTAGGTTCAGTGCGTCTTGCAGAAAAGTTGAGTGGAATCAAGCGCACAAGCTATTTCTCTCAAACGCTGTGAGCACAAATGTTGTCGTTGAGTCCATCACGAGTCCCCCCCCCAACTCCCTGCCAGTTCATATCAAGCAATCAAATCCCAAGTCAAGTCACATTCTCTTCACGTGAAATGTTAAAGTGAGGGCCTATCGGAAATCACTGGAGCCAAGCCTTAAGCTTTTAGAGACTATCATGACACCAGAGTTTTAACTGATACTTTGCGTCAATTCTTTTTGTTTTCTTAATTCTTTTTTCTGAATTGATGTTTACTGTATGCACTGATATTCTGACCGTAGATCGTACAGCGCCGAAGGCGCAAGATGGATGACTCTGCCCAAATGGTGTAATTACCATGGGCGCCATTTGAGCAAGCGATACGCCTGCGCAGTTTACGGTAATGCTTAGGCGCAGACTCACCAGGTGTACATGCCTGCTACGGCGTCTGCGCCTTTGCCTTACTGTGCATTGCGCAGGTGTATCGCTTGCTCAAAGCGCCCATGCAATTACAACTTTTTACGTGCATTCTCTGTGAGGTTCGCCATCTTGCGCTGCTTTGCGGCGCTATACGATCTTTGGTTCTGACCTTAATGGACCAGAGCAGACTGAAAACTCCTTTGTCACTGTTTGTGAGTACGAAGTATGACGTGTTGCCATGGTGAGACTCTAGACACTGACTAGTCCACTGAGATGCCCATTTGCAAAAGCATGGGAAAACAATGACTCCTGTGTACAGCCATCACCTTGGCAACGGGCAAAACATGAATACCAACTTCGGCACTCCAGAGTCTTGTGAAAGGACTCAGGACAGGACTTATGACAGTTTCAACAGCAACCCTGTCTGAACATGACGTTATCATGACAAAGTGGACAACTAAATTGACGGGAAAATCTTTGCTTAAAACCAACTTCCGAATCGCCATCGCCATCCAGAATATTTTAATCAGTTGTCGGGTACAAGAAAAGCAAAACCAAGCAGATTTGTGTTTCTGCAGCTGGCAAAGACGCTGAGCACAATGCGCTTCGATAAAAATGACGCTTGCGATGGGCGAACCCTTCCCTGTAAAACTTCACATCTGACTAGTTTATAACCAGTGACACGATCTGCCCTGCCTTGGCTAAGCAGGAGGTTGTGGGTTAGATCCTACCCGAGTAAATGGGTAAACTGTCCAACGTTTCTACTTGCGGCCAGTGTTTAATAGCTAGAAGGGTGTCTAGCTTTGTTTGGAGCAACCCCCATGGGCCATTTTTCAGATATTTGTGAAATTTCTCCGCTTGTGGCCTCAGGAAGGTCATCAGGCACACACCGCCATTTCGATATGACTATTGGCAAAGAAAGTCTTCCGCCTTACTGCATTTTACATCACCCACCTGCAACATTCCGCCACAGATTGAACAAGAAAATTTTACTGAGCTTGAACCAAAATATCTACCATTCAAATTTGTTCAGTGACAGCCTGACAATTCGATCCCAGCGGAATATTCCACAAAGGCAAACTGATTCATTTTTGAAAAGAATATTCCAGGTCACACTGGTCAAAGCAAGCAGTTTTTGCAGACTTCATTTCTGACACACGCACGCTTATCAACACTTGTTCAGCGAGCACACCGTACACCATCGCTAATCCCTTCTACATACCCTAGTTTATCCTCCATGCGACTGATGTGCGAAGCATGCATGTAAACAGGTGAATGGAAAATACAAAAAAAGGGGATAAGCTGCAAGAAAGCTTGAATAGATCTTTGACATTCTGTGCAAATTCATTCTTTCCTTGAAAATCCACAATTTGCTACTTTCCTGCCCCTGAGAGCAAAAGGTGACAGTAAAAGAGAGGACGTTAGCACAGGAGGCTAACGGCTACTACTCTTGTTCATTTAATTTCTGTTTTTGGGGCATTTTTTCTTTTTTTAAATTGTCAAACAGCATTCTGAATTATCAGCGTAAATCTAACAGTTGCTGAAACATGTCCGTGAAATGATGCTCGCGTGTGTGCATGTTTGAGCGAGCCCCAAAAAGTAGCAATCAAAATGGAACTGTAGAGAAGTGGAGAATTTGCACCGAATGTGCTCCAGGCGTGATTCACTCTTGCAAGGAACGCTTCGCTAGGCCACAGCAAACAGCGCAGTGTTAATAAAGCAGTGCGTTCCACACAGATTAACAGTATTCAATTAATGTTCTTGTCAAGATGCCAACATGACAGAAAGGGCAGATATAAAAGAAAAAAAATGAGAGAGCCTACTAGCCAAATTAAACACATGAAAATAAAGACAAACAAAAGGACAAATTCTCAAAATACATGTATTCACATTGAATGGTGGAACCTTCAGATTCTCAAAATATTCACATTGAATGGCTGGGTAGGCATTCACTGCGTTAAGGGGACAAGTTCTTTTGTTAGGGAAATTTGAACCGAGTTGTGGGGACATTTCTGAGTCCCCACAACGTTTTTGGTCCCCACAAACAAGGTGAAACGTCGAGTGTACGTCCCCACAAATACGGTGCGGGAGCATATGAACATTCAGCTTGCAAAACAATTCTGACTCGTTCTAGAATATTTAATTCTTTTGCAGGAAATTTTTAGGAACACCCTCAGATGTATTTATGTTATACAAGTACATCCATCTCCACACACAGGACTACGGTCTGACAGTAGGTTCAGTTGTTCATGCAATATGGGAGGGCAAGAGCTGGTGGCCCAGGTGTAAAGTCCACACACTTGTCTGTTAGAGGAAATGGTGTTATACGCATTAACGTGACCACGTGCATTATGTGCTAAACTGGGGTTAACTTGCTATAATGCATGTACATGGGACTTCAGGAAAAAGGTTAATTGGTTAGTCAACTCAAGGTCCACTCCAACAGTTCTTGTCACGACATATGACTGCATTCGAGCATGATGCCAAAACAAAAAATAAAAATCCAAGGGAAAAAAAAGAAATAAAACATACGAAAATGAATTTAAAAAAATGCAAGCAAGTCCACACAACACCGCACACACGCCACTCCACCTTACAATTCAAAGGTCTCTTTGGAATATACAGTGATTTGCTGATGACGCCTGCACCAGAAACAAAAGGTCCACCGTATGCAGGTTAATAACACACAAATTATGCAAATGTATGCAAATTAATACAGTAACAAGCACGATAAATTCATATGTAAGTTTGAATTCCTGTCACAGAATTTTGTACTGCCCCCTCCACCAGGAACCTGAAGTTAATCTGGTAAATGTATTACTTTAAAAGCACGCTGCCCCTTCACCTGAAAGCCATTTCATGACTGCATTCCACCCTCAATGATAATATTGATATGAAGGTAAGAAATCCGAAGGCAATTTTTAAAATGTATTGTAATCATGAGGAAAAAAGACAGATAGTTAGAAAGCTGCAAACTTCTCATTTTGCCCTTGCACACAATTAATCTAAGGAAAAGCAAGAGAAGTAAAGTTGCACATTTAAATGTTGGCAAAGGAAAATGATGAAATCACGGTAATCCAATTCCAATATTTTTTCTTGAGAACAGATGACATTAATACAAAGCAAACGCTGAAATTTCTGTATATCGAGAGACTTGGAGAACATTTCGACAGAACAGTTTCCTACATTGTCAACATGGCCTATGTTTAGACAGCACATATCTGGCAGGTTTACAAGGCAAAACTGACATAATGAACAACGGAGTAAGTCAGATAAGCGGCACAGGCTCTTTGCCCCATTTGCAAAAAAAAAAGACGCACAGAATTTCCCAGGCAAACTTTAATAAAATATAGATAAATATTCCAATTAATCGAAAACAAAAAACCAAAATGAAAACCACGGCAAACAACGTACCATCTGTTGTGGTGGTAAAGCATGCGATCCAATTTTAGGGAAACGTGTTAGAGTAGGGAAAAGACATAAAAACCAACAAATGAGATGTCGTTAGTTAGTACATGGTTTTGCATTAAAAAGAGACAAAATAACAAGAATGCAATATCTGTGGATTTATTCAATTGTTGACAAAAGGTGACGAGAATGAAAATCCCGTATTAAATTATGACGAATGAAAAATTTGAGGGAATACTCAATACCGTAGGATATGGCACTGCTGAATTTAAGGTAACAGAATCCCTAAATGAAAGAGCCTAAAATACACAATAACAAGGTTTAGTTTCTTGGCCATGAAGGTGGACAGGGCAGGCTGGGGACATCAATGGGGGGTTATACCTGCCCAACTCGTCCCCCAAAACTCTTTATTTGGGGAGAGGAACTGTGCAGAAAAATGGAAATTGCACTGTGCTATTTCATTGCATATGGGTCGTTCCGTGAGGTTGGGGCACAATTTGTGATGGTGTCCTTGTTACATGGGTAACTTTTAACCGTCTGCCATGACCTGTAGGGTAGGTCATTTACTCTGTACAAATAGCACACACCTCTGTATTCAACCTTGCAAGATGTATAACAATGTCAATTTGGAATCCACATGCAGGGAAGTAGCTGTTCATTTTCACGGAACCCACGTAACAATGGACACCGTCACAAATTGTGCCCCAACCTCTAGGAATAACCCAAATATCAACACAAATGCTTCAAAGCCTCAAACACGAAACTGCATGTCAATGGGGAGAGACGGTGTGAGACATGTCGGCTTGTGACGTTTCAAAAGGCTCTAAAACACCCATCTAATCTGTCTGAAACAAATGTGTGAATGGAAAATTCAATCAATAACTTCTGATTAAAAAAAAAGGAAAGAAAAAACTCACTGGATACTACCAGAGCTGTGTACAGAGACAGTAGTGCCAACTGTGGACCAAAATGGCTGTTCGTGTTACCTGCACGATAACTGAATGATTCACTGATGCACAATCCACCATTTTGGTTCCAACAATTGAGACACTCATGTCGCAACTCTCTCTATAAACAGCTCTGGTTACTATGACTGACAAGTTCCTTATTGGCATTCTGGCAATTGGGAGCTGCAGTTTGGGATGTCTCTGGCTTCTGGAGACACCCTTCAATCAATCATATTCCGGCGGATTATTTTTCTTCCAACTTTTCCCTCCAGGGTTTAATGGCAAGGAATGATTTCATGAGGAGACTGATGTGGAATGGGCATTCCATCAATCACCCCATCAATCCACGAACAGCATTTCATCTGCCAACAACTGAAATGGGCATTCCATCAATCACCCTGTCACTCCACAAACAGCATATTTCGTCTGCCAACAATTGAAACCATTCTATCCACTGCAGAATATGAAAAGTCATTAGTCATATTCAATGCTTCATCAAATCGCTAAATACATACTGAAAAAGAGAGACAGGATAAACCTCTCCATTACAGAAATTTCTTGTGGCTACGGGTGGATGGAATGTTGATGGATCCATAAATAGGTGGAATGAAGTGCTTTATTTTTGTGATCATGCTGAGGACGATTCTTTCATGACAAGGTGATTGATGATCCACCAATAAGATTACAGGGATTTATTGAGGCATTCTATAAAACTAAAAGAACCTGCCGACAGGAAAGTGTGGTACTGCTGTTAGATACGGTAGAACAGATAGTGACTGTTTTTATCTTTGTTTTTTGTTCGCTATTTTACCTTGTGTGCATGTCGATGTTGGTCAGTTTGCTCCGATGAATCATGCGGCGCAGCCAGCGCACGCCAGCCATATGGGGGTCAATCAGGAACGGGGGTCGTTGCCATGACGATTTCTGAATGGCCAGGTTCTCCATCTGCTGTAGGCACAGGCCTGGAAATGATGTGAAACCCAACAGAAAGTGAATTGAGTCAAACCAGAACAGGTCACACTCACTGAAGGGCAACAGATACAAACGTTTTTGCCAAATGTCACAACAAATTGTGGCATTTTGCATCTGGAGGGATGCAAATTTGTTGTTTGTTAGAACGTTTGCTTTTAATGCAGGGTGTTTGAAAAATGAAACCCCAAAACACAGGGAACATAGTGGCGATGTACAGTAAACGTACATTTAAGGCCCTTCTCCAGATTGTATTAAATAAGCTTGCCAGTGATATGGTGGACGCATTTTTCTGGTCAGGCATCACTGATAGCAACTGTCATGCATCACTGATTTCAGTCTTTGTAGGGCAGCTTGTGAAACCAACTGATAGCTTGCCCCAGGCATCATGATCAGATTGGGAGAGGAATAAAGTTTACCGCGATGTTATTCTCTGTTTCCTTCAATATTAAAAGCGTCCAGCGGAGTGAAAAAATGATTGTCTGGAAAATCCAAGATTGCTCGACTGACTTTTTGGGATACCCTACACTTCTACCACAGCGTACTTCAGGGCCGTAAGTGGCCACAAAGAAAGCTGCGAACTGCTAGCAAAAAGCTGAAATTAAAAAAAGAAAGGTTTTCCAAAATTATAAACGCAGCAGGTGTGCAAAAGACCTCAAATTCAGCGTAAAAAGCTAAATTGTCACAACCATGATATTAAAAGATATTTAAGTTGAACGACCTTGAAGAAACATAGGCTTCACAACGACCATGACCACTTTAGACAAAATCATCCAGGTGAGATTTCTATCACCGTAAGTTCAGGTCAGAGTTCATGGAGCCAATCTGTGACGCCCCCACCTCACCTCTGGTCATCCATTCTTGCAAGGTCCGCTCGCCCACCAGCAGCTTGACCAGGGCCTGGACGTAGCGGCCAAAGTCGCTGCTGCTGATCTGGGGGAAGTTGTCCACCGTGTAGTTGTACTGGCTCTCCGTGGCTGTGTGCAGGTCCGGGGAATAGGCACCAGTGTCGTCGGCTGGCGGTTCATTCCTGGGCATGTCTTGAACGAGGCCTTCTGAGGGGGTGAAAGTCAGAAATCACAATGGTACTGACAATTGGAATGGAGGTACATGTATTCTTCACACTCTCAAACTAAATGGGTTCACAAATGGTTTTTTGGGGTGATACAAATTTTCTGCCAATTTCTCCTTCTCTTAAATGTGGGAAAACAATTTGACATCATTTTTTGTACACTGAATTTTGAAAAGTAAAATTCTGTAAACATTAGAAACTTTCCACGCATTTATGGACAACAGAGGGCGCCGTTTCTGTGATACAGAAAACATGCACACAGTAATGAACCACAAAGGGAAAAGAAAAGTCAAGACTGCAAATATCGGACACTCAAGAAATGTTTTGAGCTGAAACAGCCCAAACAAGGTTTCTGCCCTGAATGATGTCACCATTCTGCTCATGAATATGGAAATAATCATCAACAAAACCAGCGAGCACGGAAATACTCCGTAAAATGGTAGAACACAAATTATAAACAAGGTCAGGTGGGACACAAATGGGCATTGTAAAGGTGGCATAAACCATTTAGATTTCAGGGAACCTTTAAGAGTGGTCTTTACCTCTGTCTTCATTGACAGCCTCTTGATTATCCATCTCGGTTCCGGTCTCTGCCTCCTCCATGATGGTCTCGTTGGCACCGCCCACTGCTTGTTTCTCGTCTGCTTCCTTCTCTTCTTCCCCTCCCCTGTCATCCTCTCCGCCCATCTCCTGCGCCTCCTGCTGGGCTGTTTCTTGTTCCTCTTCTTGCTGCTGTTGTTGTGATGGCTGGTCTCCCACGGCATCCCTCGGGGTGTTGCCGACCTCCTCCTCGTTGCTGTGGGCCGAGCTGGTCACTGTGTTGGAGCGGGTACGGTTGGTGTGGATGGCCCATTCCACTATCCAACCTGGGGGGGGGTTGGTAAAGGTTGACATGTTTTGTCTTTTGTTTTCTGGTAATCAGCAAGATTTTAGTCAAGTTTTCTGATCAAAATCGTTGAATGAAACAAACTACATGTATATTGGGAAACTGACTAGGTGCTTACAAATAATTATAAAGATGAACAAAGACATTGACTGGAGTGGGATTTGAACCAGCGACCTGAAATCAAGTAGATGCAGGACTCACACCCTGGAGTTCATTTCTTACGTATCATCTTTGAAGTAGAAGGATACAAACAGAATAAACTGGTCGATGTGATGCAGATATAAGGGGGTAAACATTTAGCAGGGGGGCATAAAATTTCAGTAGGGTGACTGGCCCTCTTCAAGCCCCTCTCAACACAGGCCAAGAGAGGGCTTTCACTAAATCAGCCCTGGACAGATGACCAACTCCTACCTTTCATGGGGTCAACGGCGTCAATCAGCAGGGGCACGCCCCTCTCCTGCAGGCACATGGGCCACTGGATGGTCAGCATGACCCGACGGAACTTGGGGTCGTAGGCGCCCAGGTAGGAGGCGAAGGCAGCGGCCATGGCGACGGCGCCGGGGATGGCAAACAGCCGCTGGGGCAAGGAGCGACAGATCTGTACGCAGTGCTTGTGTTCCATTCCCAGGATCTACAAAAAAAGACAGACGAGGGATTAACCACTTGCTGCCGGGTGGATTTTCCGTGCGAGGGTGCTGTGTGGCTCATCGCTGTGGTGGTGGAGAGCTTTTGTCCCCGGTGGTAATCCGCTCGCTCTAAATGCTTCAAACCGTGGTATACTGTTTCAAAACAAGGCTGGATTATCTCCACTATTGAGTGTGAAAAAATGTCTGATTGCCCAGCAGCTCAGTCTTTTGTGCTGAGCACCGTCTTTTGTTATACGGCCCAACTCTTTTGTCCCAGTTCCGGGCTCCCCGGCTCTGCATATAAAGCCTATGTACTCGAAAACGGGTCGCCCGGCAGAAAGTGGTTAAAAAAGAAGGATTAGACATGGAGGCACGGAGAATGACCTGAAACATTATAAATATAAGCCTTGAGCTTGACCAAGAGAGGGCATTATTTCCTTAGCAATGGGGGCTCCTTTGGTACCAACTGATCATCATTGATGCACGAATGACTAGGAAATGCAAGCATTTCAGTCGCATTGCTACCAACAGAATGAATACTCCCAACCAACGCAGCTCTTTGTAACCAATGACAGGGTGCTTCTGTCCCGAGGTGAAAAAACCAGAACTCCCAACGTGCAAACCCGAGTAACCCAATGAAATATCAGATAAAAACCAACCTGAGCCTATCTGAAACTGAACTGACCTCAAGTGAAAAAAAACAACAAATTTCTGGCCCGGTCAAATCATCCAATAATTTGTCCACTTTTGCAGCCGGAACATCCACGTCGCATTAATTCTCTTGGGAACTCATGACGAGAACTAAAACAGTTACAACGATTTAGAGTTCTTGTTGGACTGTAGAAATTGATACAGGGGAAATTACACACGTTGGTCGTACTGTGCACTTGGAATCAACATTCACATCACATCACGACAATATCTTAACCGTTTCATTTTTTTTTTACAGTTTTTATCAGGATTTTTCACAAAGGGCTCAACCAAACTGACCGACCTGAAAAATCGCAAACACAAAAACCAAAACCGACCCAACTGAATTGGTGACAAAAAAAAAACAACCCAACCCGATGTTTGTTTCCAGTCAACGTCAATATCAGTTTTGGGTTGAGATTACATATTACTTGAGACATAAAACAATAAGGCACCATCAGATGAAAGACGTGCTCTGTCCCCAAAGCAGCCAATCCGATCCAATCAAAAGACGTCAGAGTACAAGATGTGAGAGAGTGCAGAGTACAAAGCGGCTGCACTTGAGTCCCGACATTTTCTCGACGTCACATCAGAAAAACCTGTGATCAGAATGCCCTCCCCGGGGGGAAAAAAACCATTCCAACACAGATAACAAAACAAAAAGAAGAAAATACCTCTCTGAATTTGTTGGCCGTCTCCAGCTGTTGGCCCATCTTCTTGGACAGGTCCTCCTGGTTGTTCTTGTCCACCGTGGCTTCCTCAAAGCTCTGGGCCAGGTCCAACAGTCGCATCTCCAGGGCCTGGCAGAAAAGAAAATTAGTTTCTGAGTTTCTGGGAGAGAACTTTTTTTGAACAACTCCTTTCAGAGACCATCGGTAAATCACTCCAACGGTCCAGGTTATTACTCAAACAAAAATTCTTTGTCCAAAAACAGACATCCCGCTATTTTACAACTTGCCTATATTCTTCTTTGAAGAGTAAAGATCTCATCAAGCAACAAATAATCTTTTATCAGAATTTAAACCCTTCCACTATGAACATTTGTCAATTTGAAACTGATGAGAATTTTTCCACCCCCCCCAAAGTAAAAATCCCAGCAACGCCCACGGTCCAGAAACACGACGGACCTTCTTTTTGTTCTCCAGTGTTGCCAGTCTGTGTTCGGCTTCCTCCACGGCCGCCGTTGTCTCCTCCACCTTGGTGTGCAGCGGCTTCACCTTGGAGATCATCAGTCGGTGATACCTACAACAATGCCAAGATCTTTGTTTTTAAAGATGTAATCTGTGCACTGGGAATATTTCAGTTTAAAAATGAGATTGTTGCCTAATACTAGTATCCGTTTATAAATCCTGTTTACTCAGCGATAACAAAAGCCTTAGAAAAAACTAACGCTCAGGTGGTGACCTCCTGTTTAATACTACGGCAGACGTCTTGACCATCGAGCTTGCCAAGGTCGGCTGGCCAGTTAGAGTCAAATGAGCACCATGTACAATCCATAACATCTTATTTGATGAGCTTTTTGACCTCGGAAATGATGAATTTTATATTGTGCATTTTGCCCTTCACCACTATATTTACATGCATAAATATTTTCTGCTTAATGTTCTCTGAGGGCTTGTCAAAGATAGCATGCAGTGTTAGTTGGTGAATATTTGTTGGTGAAGAGCCAAACAGCCGAATTCACACCTAGGTCATTGTTTCCCTTGAACACAAGGACAATTCTAGAGCTCATACGTGCCTTTAAGAGCATGGCCAAAGATATTAAATATATTTATGCTTTTGTTCGAAGTGATGAACGATGAGGTTTCAAGAAGCTTTTAATATCATCTTGAGACATCACTTACTATGTTCACTCTGGGTATCCCCCCAACCAATTCTCAAAGTTTATATCATAGATATATCAATATGTGATATAACACGGCTGTGGTAAACTGTGGGGCAAGAGCTATGATATATCAAGATGTAATATATATGTACTGCAGCAATGGTAAACTGCAGAGCAAGAGATATGATATACCAATATGTAATATAACACGGCTGAGGTAAACTGTGGGGCAAGATATCAATATGTGATATAACACAGCTATGGTAAACTGCAGAGCAAGAGATATGATATACCAATATGTAATATAACACGGCTGAGGTAAACTGTGGGGCAAGATATCAATATGTGATATAACACAGCTATGGTAAACTACAGAGCAAGAGATATGCTATACCAATATGTAATATAACATGGCTGAGGTAAACTGTGGGGCAAGATATCAATATGTGATATAACACAGCTATGGTAAACTGCAGAGCAAGAGATATGATATACCAATATGTAATATAACACAGCTGAGGTAAACTGTGGGGCAAGATGTCAACACAGCCGAGGTAAACTGTGGGGTAAGATGTCAAAACGGCTGAGGTAAACTGTGGGGCAAGATATCAATATGTGATATAACACAGCTATGGTATACTGCAGAGCAAGATATATGATATACCAATATGTAATATAACACGGCTGTGGTAAACTGTGCAAGAGCGGCAAGAGAGCGCATTAACAAGCGAATCTGAAAGAGTGGAAGCGAATAATACATCATTTCTTTCTCTGGACAATGAGGACGAGTGTTCCGTAGAACAATTAACTGAAACACGAATTTTTCTACTGTTGTCGACATGAGACAAGATGTTTCCTACCTGACCACGCCCCGGACCCACTTGCAAAGCGAGGCGGCAGCCAGGTTGTTGGTCTTGCGCTGCATATTCTGGGGCTGGAAGGAGGCCTTCTTGAGGTAGGGCTCCACCAGGTTGAGGGTGCTCTCTGGCAACTCGCTGTCATCAAACTGCATCAACTCCTCAAGAAACCTCACCAGGAAAAAACAAAATGGCCGTTAAAGTGGCAGCCGTACAGTAAAACTGTTGTTAGAGGGCTGGTTGGTATCACAACTCTGTTATAAAGCGGCCATACGCGGCTCTAAGTCACCACACAATGTCCAGGATTTCACTACCATGTCTGCATCTTACAACTACGCCTTCTTGCAACAATAGCACACTGCCATCTGTGATCATTAAAAATGGAAGTGTTTGTTCATTTTCCAATTGGCATCACTCAAATTTGTAGGAATTGCAGTTAGGAAGTTTGAAGTCATTCATTAGTTCTTTACACGTTGCCTCATGACTGTGTGTATAGCACTGTGTATGCTTGCAAAATTTCTGACCCTACGACACGAAGATAAATCTAGTTTCCAGAAACTGGCCAGAAGAGATCTTACCTTTCGATGTTGGCCATCTGTCGTTTGGCACCTTTACTCCAGGTCAAGTCTGACGACGGACTCTTCACTGCCAAAACAAAACCAAAGAAAACCAATTTTGGATCGCACAAAAAAAGGCAAATGGTGGAAGTCAGCACTTGCATTTAGGGATTGCATCGTTGTCTTATGCACAGATTTGCAAGTCTTCAAGTGCAAAAAAAGATATGTGAGATGCTGAAGTACAAGATGATGACGCAATGTTTGGCTACCTGTGAACGGCATGAGCTGAGGAAAAGGACACTGTCTTCCCTAATCCCATTCCAAGTGTCACTGTCACAGCACCCTCAATGAGTATGCAGGCAGCAAATAGAGCCTGTCAAACAATAAGCCCAGACCCTGTGCACGGGTGCTATCTTAAAAGCTTGTTATATATTCATTCATTCCAAATATGCCCATCTCAGCTGAGCAAGAGGGAACGCCCTACAAGATGGCTGTCTGCGGCCCTTACGTATCATGATGATGGAGGCCATCAGGTCCTCAATGTCCACGTCCGGTTTCTGCATTCCTCTCAGCTCCCCTAGGGAGTTGATGTCCAGCTCTTGCACAATCTTCTTGGTGTCTTGAACCACGGCAACTGTCTTGTAGACAGCCCTGGCGTGGGCCAACGTGTACTGCGGCAAAGCCTGTGATATCAAACGCACGCACGCACCCAAGTTTGAATTGTACCTCAAATGCACTGGTTTGTTTACTGATTGCTTTGATTGCTTTTTCCTGCCCAGCACTGTCTTTCATGATCCGTGCTTTGTGACAACTCACGAGACAAAACAACACAAACTCGTGTGACCGCTTGGTGGGATTCGAACCTGCAACCACCTACTTACAAGCGCACACTTCACTCTAATAACCTTGCTGAAGTGAGCTGTTTTGGCAACTGGCTCATCCGACCAACATGAACAAATATTGAACCCAAAACCACTTTCAGTGACGTCAAGCTCAACCATCACGCGCAGACTTGTACATTTTCTAGTCTCTGAATCTTCTTCAGCTACTGCTCTGCAATAATATTCTTATCTATTTTGCCAAAACCAGCAGGGTTTGAACTCAAGACCACTGGCAAAAAAGCCAGGCAATACCCCTAAAGGACCTGTAGTGTACATCTTCCTGAATTTTCGGATCTTGTAGCCACCTCTTGCAAACCGACTTGATTGCTGCCCAGGGACACCTTTGTCGAAACAAAGCTAAAATTGAATTTGAACCAGGGACCACTGGAAACAAAGGCAAGTACCATCACCATTGCGCTCTGCAGCACTTACGTACCTTCTTCAGTTTCTGTATCTTCTCCATTTGTTTGTGCACAATCTTGATCTGTTGCTCGGCGATGGCCTTGTCCTGGCCGATTTGAGATAGCAGCTTGACTGTGCCCTGGTAACAGGAACACATCCACAAGAGCGTTATGAGCACAACTGGTGTCTGTCTGTCTTGCATGGAAGGGATCTTTCGCTCCATACAGGTGATTAAGACAGAGTCAATTCTGACCACAAAAACGAGATGAGCACTAGCTTCTCATTCTCCGCGCAGAGAAAATTTCACGCCGTCCTGGGCGCAGAAATTTTGAATCATGCATGCTTGTAGAATATTCGAAATCAGATAGAATGAATATTGAATAATGTAATTCTACCAACAACCGTATAATTCAGTCAGTGTTCAGTGACTTGACGGCTCTGGAGCAGCGGCTGTCATGCGCATCCGGTACTGATATATAAAATCTGATTAATAAACTTCACAGCAAAATCTATGAGCAGCGCATACGTGGTTGCGTTTTTTTGGGCATGGAGCGATGTAAAATTCTCATTTAATGATTGTGCATTCAATTTGTTTGCGTATCGGCTTTGTTGACGTATCATTTTAGAATACAGACACAGATATGCAAAAAGCCCTACAAAAGTCGAACAAAACTTCGAGTTTTTCCCAGTTAGTCAAAGATGCATTCAACAACATGCCTGTACCATCCACATGCAGGCTTGGTACCACAAAGTAATGGCTTCCAATCCCGGTCACATGTCTACAGAGAGCGGCTACGGCTTCCATAGGTCCCTGTGTTATTTCTAGCCGCAGCCACTCCCATTCGACTCCAGCCATCCACTTACCTCTTTCCTCTCCTCCAACACCACCAGCTCGTGTTCCAGTTGCTTCTGCAGCTTGCTGGCCAGCTGGTTCTCCTTGTTGATGTGCTCCAGGGCCCCCGTCACCATGGTGTGCTCCTCCTGGATCTTCTGCTGCCGCTGGTGGTACATGGACAGGAACCTGCGCGGCAGGCAGAAAGGGGTCAGTGAGGGTGAAGATGTGGATTTTAAAAAATCCCAAACTCATTCTCGGGGTCTGTTTGGGCCTGTTTGTTTCTCAATCAGTGGCCCCAATGCTGGTTTGGTTCATCCTTGGGTGGGTCCTGGCTTCAGTGAACCCACGACGGATTACTGATTATGATCCGGATCTCTGTGAAACAAACAGGCCCTTTATTTCAAACAGATCTTGATCTAGATCAGTTATCCCCAAACTGGTCGCTCTGGGGCCAATTTCACAGAGCTGCTTACGCACAGAATTTGCCTAAGCACAAAAAACCTTGCTTAATAAACAAAGGTTACCAGCTCACTCTATCTGATTGTCATGCTAACCAAAAGACAGAAAAATACCATTCCAAAACAATATACATTACAAGACGTTTTGGCTGGTAACCGGATTTGTCAAGCAAGGTTTTTTCATGCTGAAACAAATGTTTCATTTAAGCAGCGCTATGAAATTGGCCCCATTCATCAGGCAGGTTCTGGTGTCAGTGAACCAATGGATTCGCCCCTGATCACGATCCGAATCCGCATGAAACATACAGTCCCTAGGTAACTGGCTTGACGCATTTACATGGAATGCGTCAACGACTGGAAGTGGTGTACTTAGAAATGTTTCATTTTTACAGTCTATTTATAATTTGATGTTTATAGTTATGAATATAAAAGCCAATCTCTCCTTGTAAAGAACCCTGCCTTTGTCCATTGTCATTCATAAGGGTCGCAGCGCAGGTTAAATTATTTCATTTCAACTTCTGAAAAACATGATTTGCTTTCCAATTTGCAGTGAAAGGAATCCCTTTTTAAATAGATTGATAACCCCAGTTCAACATTTCAAAACAAAACATAGGGATGCAGTTAAATAGAGGAATCAGACTTTTTTAAGAGTCAGTTGAGTTTTTCAACAGCGCATGTCCACAATAAAGTGTGTCTCGGGTCTTTCCAGAACAGAATACGCCTGCTTAAGGTTGGACTTATGAGCTTGGCCGTATGTCGATTTACACATCATAGTGCAAAAACATGTTCAGCTTGCATGCTTTGTTCTCAAATGAAGCTTGTGCTTTCTAAATACCCAACTGGCTTATTATCCAAGGTTTTTGGGACGTGTTGATGAGGCAACTTCAAGACAAGAGAGTCCCCATTGGTAGCCCCCTGCTCAACATCACAGAGACGAGGTTGGTTTCGCATACTTGCCAACCTGTCGTACTCCTTCCTGAGGTCAGGCATCACCACATAATAGATTAGAATTGTAAATGAACTAAGGGCTCATTTAAGTACCTTTTAATCTACTGTGTTGTAATGCCTGACCTCAGGAAAGAGTACAGCAGGTTGGCAGGTCTGGTTTAGATAACAATCAGGGCCAATATCATTGGAGCACCTAGGCACTAAACATTGCTTTAATGGCAGACTTTTATTTAAAGCCAAATTGAACAGGGAGCCAGTCTTAAGCCACGTACTTCATATGGCGCTCTGGTTGGTACCCCACTTCCATGCTGAGCATATGTTCTACGTGCTTAGCATATTTCTGGAATTGGGCCTCCTAGGTCAAAGGGCAAGGGGACTGACCTCTCCACAAACTTCTCGTAGGTGGTATTGGTCAGGTGGTTGTACTGTCCGGCTCCTTTCTCTTCTCCGTCCAGCTGGCGGATGGCCAGGTGCATGGTGGCCAACAGGTGGGCCAGGTTCTCCTTCTGGATGTGGTTAAGGGTCTCAACGCCTGTAAGGGACAGACGGTAATTACAGTGGATAATTACAGAGCTGAAAGGAAAGAGTACCTGTGGTTGAATGAATTGTCAGCAAGTGTGACGAGTGGAGCTTAAAACAAAATGAGTTTCATTAATGATGTTTCAAAAAGGGGAAAGACTTGTGGATGAACCAAGAATCGAGCGTGTAAGCAGGATCAGATGTGGATGTCAAAAGTCAACAATTTTTCAGGAGTTTACATGGATCGCCTTTGAGATCAGCATAACCCTTTGGTACATATGTGGAGTTCAAGATTAACAGATATCAGCAAAAGTCCTTTTTCTTTTGCTTGATATGCCAAACCAATCTGGTACATATCCGAAACGGAGGACAGAGATTTCGCCAAAGTATGAGAAATGACTCGAGTCGACTTTTATTAAGCATGCTAAATACAGCCCATCAAGTTATTCACTTGGTTATTTCACTGATGAGACAGCACATCTCTTCCTGGATCAGTTTTGGTACCAGTAAAACTGAAAGTTAGCGACCCTAGTTTGGTGCGATGTTCTGAGCCGTTGTTCTTTGTATATGTGACTCAGTTGACACCATATGAAGCACGTGTACGCATGCTTCGTATTGTGTCAATGCAAGAACGTTGTACTGTAACTGCAGTTTTTGTGAAACTCGGGTTTTTTGTGAATTTGGATTCAGATTTACCTCAAGATTATTACAGGTACATTTCACTGAAAAACAGCCAGCGCACAATGATGACATAATTGGTGAATGCTTAAATGTCGTATCTTTATTACAGGCCTTTGCATTCATGCTAAAACGTGCGCTCAACGCAAGCTGAAAACAGTCCTGTTGGTGCAAAAAGTCATCTCTCAAATTGATCAAAATATTTTCCCAATATGCAATATAAAATTGTTTACTTTTGCCACTTTTTCAAGGCAACTGATCACAATATAAAACTAAACCTACACCGTTCAATTATATGATAAAGAATGCACCGATCTAAGTAAACAATTTGAGAAACAAACGTAACTTTTGCAGAAAATACAAACATATAGTATATTGCACCGTTTACAACTGATTCAGATGCTCACTGAAATCTTTAATAACGGGCTTTAGTAATGCGAGGGAAATTTTTCTCCAACCTGAGAGGGTTTGGAGCTTCCATACTAATAATTTATGACGTGAGATTTATCGCCTACAAACTTTAAATGGGCCTAAATGGTGTTCTACATGCAAAAATGTCGTATCTCAATGAGTTACGACATTTTGACCAGACTATGCATTGCATGTCGTTTAAGCAAATATGTCCTGTTGATTTTGTTCCTTTTGAAGTTCATTTATGTAAAATTAAGCAAGACACTGAAGCCTACAATGAAAGAAGCATGTTTGTAAATTCGTTATCTGCCTAAAGTTCCACTTTCCTGTGATTTAATTCAGAAAAATTTACCGTGAGGCGTTTTTCTCCAAACTACTTGAAAGTGAGATAAAGATGATTTTGCACTGACACAGCAATATGTTGTCAACTGAGGCATTGCCTCTTAAAATGCATGGTTCACAAGTTCCACCCATGACTGATGCTGACACCAGTGGTGGCTGAGGCAACTCTTGTTTACAATAAAGTCAACTAGTCAACTAAGGCTTCCACTCATTGTTGAGATGGAAGAGCACGTGGTCCACAAG